CGGCGCCGCATGCGATTGAAAACAGGTCTCTGTCAGCATGTCGGTTGAGTGTGTCTACAACTAAAGTAACTAAAGAGAGAAATGGATTCCACATGTCGCTTCATCTGCTGTAGAAGCTAGCAGTTGCCAGCATTTTTCTTCTTGCTGTACTTACAACTGTAAAAGCACCGGAAAGATATCGAATATATGGCCCGTTTTGTAGGGCCGAGCTAGATCCTGAACTACCATGCCGACAATCTTGCAACCATTGGAAGCACGTTTGCCGGCTGATTGGCATGGTCAAGCTGGGCCTCCAAGAGGTGGCAGCCCCGTAGCAGAGCTTGAAGGAATTTTCACCGCACGTCTTCAAAGCACCTCGCCTTGAGAACGACCGGATTTACGGCACAGCTGTGCTATAGCTACTCGTATGGTTGAACGCTCAGTACGGCAAGTTGCATGAGTTTGCCAACCCCGGCACCATGGATGGACACGCAGCTGGTGCTTCCGGGACAAATGCAGCTTGCTACTCCGCCGGCGGCCGCAACACTTTCAATGCAGAGGCTCAGCGATGAGTCGTTGCAGGAAAGGCTGCGAAGCTTGGAGACAGAGTGCCAACAATTGCGCGACAGCAATTCCCGGCTGGAGCTGGAGAATTCCAAGCTGAAGTTGCAAGTGAGCTCTTCACAGGGATCGCAGTCAGTTTCGGGGAAGCTTGAATCACCAAGCCGGCTAAACGGCTCGATCTCCGTGGCAGAGACGCAGCATCAAGATTTGCGAAAGCGCATGCGAGCGATGATGGAGGAGCAGCGGCGGTTGGTAGATGAACTCCAACTCGAGATTGCGGAGGTGCGAGTGCCATGCGTCAGTGTCTGCACTTTTGCAATTAGTGTGCTGTGCTTCTTTGATGTCCTTTTGTTGCCAGGACATGGGCCAGCTTCAGGTTCGACCTGGTAAAGAGCACCAGCCGGAGCCTCAGCTCAGAGATCAAAGCAGCTGCGACGATACGACCGGGGGGCTAGGAAGCGTTGAGGTCTCACTTTCAATCTGTTTTGGGGAGGACTCAACCAACCAAGAAAGTCCGTTTGAAGTGTGGCCGCCGATGTGCTCGTAGTTTTTTTGGTGTCGCTTTCCTCGCTTGGTGCAAGGGCAGTTCGCTCTGGAGTTTTGCAGATGGCGCCCTGGAATTGTGCTCCTCATCGTTCGCAGATCATGTCGTTGTTGCCACGGGTCTATGTGTGTCTACTGGCGGTCCCAGCTGGCATGAGTTGCGTGAATTGGCCGCTGATCGTCAGCTTTGGGCTAGTCATCAACAGGCTGTGGCGGATCTGTACTGCCAGACACCTCATTATGTAAAAACTTCTACTGACTGGATGAAGTGGAAACATGCTCTTACTCATGAGTGCCACTGGGGATTGTGTTTGTTCGTGCACTGGAGCCCAGAGTCTATGACTGCCATCTGGCTGGATGCCACACAAAGGTGGCAGAGCGTGTCCGTTGGGTCCGCTTCGGATATATTCCATATTCTGGAAGTTGTGCTTCGCTATCTGCGCTATGTAGGCAGTTGGCTTTCCTTTCAGGTTCTCCTGCCGCAAGATACCTTTGATCTCTTTGAGCATACTTTGTATGATGTCACTCTCAAGTTATATGCAACATTTCAGAAAGTCGTCTCGTATCAAGTTGTGCCTGAAGCTTGGAGCCGCGAAGTGGCCAGTCTGGCATCGCAGTCATGAGTGCTGTCTTGTGGGTCCGGCTGCGCAGTAAGAGCAGCAGTCGAGTCCCTTGTGAAAAAAAATCGTTCGCAGAGTGCAGAGTGCGCACGTGTCGCGATTCTTACTCGTTTGGCTGACGGAATCACGGTAGGCCGGTAGGCTTGAGTGCACCCTGGACGCTGTGGCTTTGGCATGGGAAGTGGCAAAGAAACGTGAGCATGCGGGGCAGGGCACCAAACCCTGCACCTGCTGGAGCTCTGAAGCAATGCTTCCAACCGCTCTCCGCAAGTTGGCTTGCAACTTTTCAGAGTGGGGTCAGGACTACTCCTACAACAACGCTCTACGGGTCTTGAGTGTTTGCTTTGCCCATGATGTGCATGCAGAGTACTTTGTTGTCAGAATGTCCCTCTTGTTCCGAGCATCCCAGTCTTACAACACGAAAGTGGGGTCAAGAGCTACTGTGTATTCACGGTCAGGTTTAGAGCTTGAGCATTTCCTGCCAAACCTAGGCCGAGGCCGCTTGCATCAGCAGCTCTGAGTGGGGCATCCAGAAGTGGCCCGAGCGTGCGGCCCTCCGCACACACCGCACCACGAGACCTTACTGAGCCCCAAGAAGCTGCAGCACCACCAGAGCAGGACCCGCCGGATGCTTAGATGCCCAGCACGACCTGTCCTGTCCAATGCGTCGTTTCACGCTTGCACCACCAGCACCCACTCTTTGTGAGGCTTGGTTCCTGGCCGACGGTATCCCAGCCTTGGCTGTCGTCGAGAGTGCCGGAAAACACATTGCCAACGAGAACGAGCAACGGTGGCGGCTACATGCCTGTACCCGACGAGTGGAATTCGCCTTGTGAAGCGGAAGCACCACCAGAGGAGGATTCGCCACGCACTTAGATGCATACGGCTTGTTTTCACCGCGGCACCCCCAGCCCTCACTCTTCAAGTCTGTTTCATGGCGCCGACAGTGTTTGTGAAATCACATGTAAATGTCACATGTTGACTTTGCATCTCAGCTTCCGATGTCCTGCGTGGCGGAAAGTATGTTGACCTAGGCCAGCGTCGACCGTCACAATGCCAACGAGCAGAATGGGCGGCAGTCAAAGCGGACCTCTCTCTGCATCAGCTCCCGTCCCTCCGCTGACTCCGCTGGACCTGCCTGCGCGCTCTTTGCCGGCGCCTGACGAGTTGCACTCGCCCTGGGAAGCGGCGGCGCCACCGGAGGAGGAGCCGTCGGGTGCTCGGCTTCGCACAAGGTGCTCGTTGCAAAGCGAGTCGAGTTCGCCGAAGGATAAGCTATACCGTATATACCGCATATACCGCATAGTCGGAGCTGAAAGCGACTCCCAGCACTCCGTTGACTCGGCACCCACTCAGGCCGTCAGCTGCAAGCTTCGCCTCCAGCGCCCGCCTGCAGCAAGGCGGAGCTGCCATGCCGGAAGAGCCGAACGCCCCGAGTGAAGCGCCGTCCGAAGATGACGCGCCACGTTCGCCGGGCTCCCAGAATGGGCCTGCCCACGCTGTCAAGAGTATTCTACAAATTCGCTGGAGCCAGAGCACCGAACCTGCGAAAGCTCGAAGCATTCCCTGGAAGCCGCTACAGTATCGATGCCAAGGCCGAGCGTGTGGCCCCCGTCAGCGGGCCCATCGCCACTCCAGCCTGCAAGGCGTTTGTCATCCAAGTCTATTTCCGACGTGGCCTCCATTGAAGCGCCACCGGAAGACGAGGGCCCACCCAGGCCGCTTGGCTTAGCAGAAGTCGAGCGGCGCACCTGTCACTTCACAGTGCTTAGGTCTGTCCTGGTTGGTGTTGTCTCCTGTCGCTCATGCCTACTTGCAGGTATGTGCCCTCCGATTCACCCGATATTCAGAATCGTCTTCCAGGCTTCATTCACATTCACACGGCTTTGAAAACAGCACTGGTTTCTCTAAGTGTTTGGCTCTCAAACCCCGGCGGTACAATTCTTTTCGCAATGTTCCGGCGAACTTGCTTCGGCTATCCTGACCCGCACGACAGATATCTAGGCTCACCACTGACAATCGATCATAGAATCATAGACTACCTCGCTTCCTGCACTGCAAACCCACTGCGGGATTCTGGGGGGCGGCAGGAGTCCTTGCCTTTCGCGAGGCCCCATCGGACAAAAGCACCGCAGGATACTGGCATTGAGCTCACACACCTATGCCTGTGCATCTGTGCCCAGACACTGACACATTGGGCCGGGGCAACCCTACGGCCAGCTTGGGGCTTGGAGCATAGAGTCCAAGGTCAAACACTCCCGGCGATCCACCCGATGAGATGCTTGGATGCACTTAAACATCCTGCCACGGCCACGCCCACGAGATGCAGGGTTTGCCTGAGCTGGTGCCGCCAGGAAACCGGAGCCCATGATGAGCAAGTCGCCAGTTCAAGCAACCGCGGGTAAGGCAGAACATGCGGATGCCACACAAAAAGGCGACGAGAAGAAACAGGTCTTGCAGGCAGCTTGGCATATACTCATATATTGTATGTCATGACATGCATGCGTGCATTCATCGGTGTCTGGAAGCGAAAACAGACGAAAACATCCGCCTGAAGCCAAGGAGGGGGTGATTCTGCTGCAGCGGTACGATCGCAAAAGCAGCTGTTTTCAATTGCGCTTGTGTAACAAGAAGCTCGCCAATTTAAGCTTCACCGTGGACATCTCGAAATCCGTGAATCTGGACCCTGCGAGCTGGGGAGGGTTGCAGGAACGCAGGCGCCGCATAGGAATCTGTGACAGGCGCACCCTACAGTTCACTGATTCCAGAGGAACTTCGCGCTTCGCCTGGAAAGGGGACCTCGCACACGTGCAACGTCCGAGCCCCAGATCTTGAGAACCGAGGGCACAGAGAAGGTTGCAAAAGCTTGATCAGTGAAGCACGTAGGTGCCGCCTGGATTGACGGTGGAGCTTTGCCAAATCGGCCAGGTCGGCAGCCCGAGAGATGCATTGGATTCCTGTTGCTATCGCAGTACTGCACGTCGCCCTGAACGTTGCCCTGCGCCCATGAAGGTTGATTCGAAGAAGGGGTACACGAAGCTCTGCTGCACTCAGATGTCCTCCCCTGCCCACTCTGCTTATTTCCGTATTCAACGAATGTTTGCTTCACTGTAGACGTAGACACTGCAGACTATGGCCACCTGGGGCACCATCTGAAGGTTCCTTTTTTCTCCACCGCGAAAGAGAAAGTTAAAGCTCCCCCTCCCCGCCACCAACCCCAACCCCAACCCGCTCCCGGCCCCAACCCCGCCCGAATGTTCCAATGTTCATCTTTCACACCGCTCCCCGCCACCCAGACCCCCTGCCGTCAAAGACAAAGCCCAACCCTCCAACGTAACAGATCAAAGTTTATCTTTCACCCCCANNGCCCCCCCCCCCCCCCCTGTCCCTGAGTTCATGTCACCCCCCTCCCCGCCAACCCCCCTGCCGTAGAAGATCAGATTTTGTCTTTCACCCCTCGCCCGGCCCGTAACACACAGCCGTGAAAGACAACATTTAATCTTTCACCCCCCCCCCCCGCCCCCAACATCCCCACCGAGAAAGAGCACCGATCATCGTT